AAATTGTTGTACCCTCAAGCAGCAAGACTAGAGTTTGAATCCCACCGGTAATGAAAAATCAAATTTATAGAAAATGCATTTGGAAGACTATATCCTATTAGGTTATAGAACCTGTAATGGTAGTCATACCAGCTTGTACTGGGAGGTAGTGGAACATGTAGTGTGATATATATGTTATATGAAACCTGAGTGAAGCTATCAGATAAATCTAGCAAATTTACAGAGTACAGGAGCCTGTTTAGCAAGACCCGAATGAAGAGGTAGCACAGATCTTTGATAGTTACTATGTAAAGAATGATCAACCAGATATCGAAAAACTGGACAGGACCGAGGTGTTTGGCAAGACACTATATCAACTAGGCCATCAGATAATCAGAGAAAGGGTTTTGCCATTCCAAGCCATCAGATTGGGAGTTTAGGTTTTCAGAGGTATGGAAGGAAGTTCGTAAAGTAGATATTAGGGTTTGGGTGAACTTTACAAAGGCAGTAGTAGATAACTATAGCAGTTTCGGCTCGCAAGTACTTGTTTTTGGACTTAGTATAAGTTACCAAAAAAAGACTAGTCTAAAAATGTGTGGGATATAAAAAATTAGAGGTGTATATACAGGACCCTGAACAATCTACAAACAGCCAATAATTTGTAAAAATTACTAAAAATAGAAGAATCTGTAGAAAAAAAGCCTGAAATAAGCAAACTAATTACTAAAAATAGAAAAATCTGCAGAAAAATAGTCTGAAATAAGCAAATTAAAATCTTACCTATCTATAGATTGTTCAGGGTCCTGTATATACTACACCCTCTCTAGAATAACCTGATAAGTATGAGAACTCTACTAGGTTATCTATAAAATTAGTATGCAAGTAGTGTAGCACATGTCAATCTGGGTGGTCTTCAATAAAGCAGCACAAGGTTATAGGTTGGCATAATTGAGGTGGTAGTACAGGATAGGGACATCAGAGAGTTTAATTAGATAGCTTAAGTAATAGTAGGTTATAGGTACAGTATCTAGTGTAGACCCTAGTAATAGATAGCTACTTAATTAGATGCTCAAAAGGCGCAGGTATGGCTAGAAGGTACTCTCATTAACCAAGAATGTACTACTAATATACCTAATAAAAATTTGTCCTTCTATAACATTGTGAAGATAAAAAAAAAAAAATTCTACAGATATATAGAAGAAAAATAAAAAAAATTTCATCAAATTTAATTGGATAAGTATTAAAATATTTTTGTTACAACTGTTATTTTGATAGATATAGATGTTTTTAAAACTTTAAGAAAAAATATCTTTTATTTTGATTCTGCAAATCTGTAAAAAAGTTTTGCTACTGCTATTTTTTAATAGGAGTTTTAAATTTTTTTAAAATTTTGAACAAAGATATCTTAGCAACCACCTAACCAAATTTAATAACAATTTTTTATTTTAATTTTAATGATCTGTAAAATCAAATTAAATAAATTTGTTTATTGTTAGTTGGATGGTCTTCAAGATATCTTTGTTCAAAGTTTAAATTTTATAAGGATACAAATAATATCAAGAATATAATTTTGATTTAGAATGCATGATAGATTATTATATGATTTAGCACTATCCCTACTGTCTCTAAGAACTGTCTATAGATTTTTCACTTTCCTAGTATTAGTATAAAAATTATATTGTTATATAATAAAGTCAAAGTTTATTTAAGTTAGGGTTAGTGCTTATTATCAAGTTAGCTAACATATAATAAAATTGCCTGAGGAAATTTTTTTATTAAAGTAAAAATAGTAGTTTTTTATACAAATTTTTGAAAAATAAGTAATTTTTAAAAAATGAATATTTTTGTTTTTGATCTTTCTGATTATGTAATATTATATCAAAATAAAGCTTACTATTGAATAAGCTACTATAGATTATTATTTAACAGTAAAAATTTTATGTGATACTAAAATAATTTTCTAACCTCTAGCTGAAAATCTACAAACTGCATAAGTTGCATTCTTGATATCTATATAACTGCTAACTATAACTGTATTAAAATGGCTTGTTTTGCTTTAATTAATCTGCTAATATAATTTGATTTACAGTTTATTAATTAGATGCTTTAATTTTTACTAATTTTAAATTTATTACTTTTAGAATCTGAAAGATCGATTTATAAGAAAATATATTACTGATTAATTATCTTTACCTTTTTTATCTTTTTTTGTACTGTCATTATTACTCTTATTTTTGTAAAAATCTGCATTGTGACCTATTTTATTATTTATAAGACCTTTTATTTTTAGATTTACTTTAAGAACCTTGATTTTTTTAATACTTCTAATATATTTTTACTTGAATAGTCATCTTTTAGTAATAACTTTGTTCAAATTCTTTATATTTTTTAAGTTTGTTTTAGTTTTAAATTTTTTTAATTAATTACTAATTTTATTAATTTTATTTATTCAAATTTCTAAAGAATTATCAGAAATCTTATTTTTTTTTAATATTAAGGTAACTTCTTAGTCATATTCCTTTTATTCAGTTATAGTTTAACTTTTATAATATGATATACTTATACTGTATACATATTTAAAGAGTACAACTAGCCACATATACAACTTTTGGTTGCCTATTTAGTAGTCTGCTTATTACTAAGTTCTATATTAGATGTTATACTTATAACCTAACTAGGAAGTTATCTATTTAAACCTTTTGTGTCTATATATATTATCTTATTAACTGAGTGAGAGTATTAATATTCTTTATTTTTGAATGTTGATTTAAAACTACTTTATCCTTAAGATAAAACTGCTAGAGCCTTTTGCATCTACAATTTAGCCAATTTAGACTTCAATTAATATATATAGGTCAAAGCTTACTATTTACACCTCAGGTTTTTCTATAGCAGTCAATTAATATATCACATATTAGAATTTTTAATAGTAGATTAAATAATCAATACACTCAAATTTTGTAAATAAAATTTTGTATAAATTTGCTTTCTAGGCTTATTTAACAATAAAGAAGTTTTCAGTTTAATTTCTAAGTAGCATTTTGCAAATTTTTTAGCATTTTAAGGTTCTTATTATGAAATTTTAAAAGCAGTTAAAAATAAAATAGAAAATAATCTTGTATATAAAGTTGGTCAATTTTTTGATAATTTTTACTGTTTGTTTATAAGTAATAGATATTGTTTACTCAAAAATATTTAAAAAACTAATAATAAATAGTCAATTAAATTTATATAATTAACTATTTATCATTATCTATTTTAGATATTTTTGGGTAAACAACATCTATCACTTATAAACAAACAATAAAAATCATCAAAAAATTGATCAATTTCGTGTATAAGATTATTTTCTATTTTATTTTTAACTGCCTTTAAAATTTTATAATAAGAACCTTCAAATGCTAAAGAATTTGTAAAATATTATTCAGAAATTAAACTAAAAACTTCTTTATTATTAACTAAACTTGAAAAGCAAAATTTGCTCAAATTTTACTTAGTAAATTTAGGTGCATTAATCATTTGACCTTATATTAAAAAATTTACTTTCATGATCTGCATGAAATATTAATTGACTAATAGTTAATATGTTTTATGACTATTTTATTCTTACTATTTTTTTTTAATATTTTAACCTTACTATAGTTTGATCATCACTATATAATTTATTCTATCCTTATAAATTTTTTTTTTTTTTTTTTTACCTTCGTAATGTTGCAGAAGAGTGAATTTATATTAGGTATATTAGTAGTACATTCTTGGTTAACAAGAGTATATTCTAGCCATACTTGCGCCTTTTGAGTGCCTAATTAAGTAGCTACCTATTAGGGCTGTGACATTTATTACGTAATATTTTTTTATTAAAGAGGTTACTTTCTCTCCCCACATCATATCATATTATATGTAAAATATATATATGATATTATACCCAGCTACCCCCCTCCCCTTCTAAAAATATTATGTAATATCTGTCAGTGCTCTTATTAAGATCTATATTAGATGCTGTACCTATAACTCACTATTACTTGAGCTATTCAATTAAACTCTCTGATGTCTCCTGTCTTGCACCACCACTTTAATTACACCAACTTATAATCTCGTGCTGCTTCATTGAAGACCACCCAAATCGATATGTGCTATACTACTTGTGCTCTAATTCGATAGATAACCTAATAGGGTTCTCATACTTATTAGGTTACCCTAGAGAAGGTATAGTATATACCTCTCTCCCTGTAAAAAAAATCAAATCGAATTTTTCTATAATTTCTCCATATATAAATTCCATATTATTTCTATCTAAATTACTAAGTAACAACATCCATATTTCTTTCATAAATATAGCATATTTACAGAATTTTTATAGAGTAATTTTAAAAAACTAATGGAAATTATATTAAAGTTTTACTGAACCAATGCGATAATTAAATAAAAATTATATTAATTATGGAAATTAGTTGAAGATTTCGTTAAAATTTATGTAATAATTTACTGAATTATCCAATAGCGAAAAGTAAATAATATGGAATAAATACAGAAACTTATGAAAATCCAAATAGGCCACATATGAAACTTTTTTATAATTATTATGGAATAAATATGGGAACATTACTGAACTACTATTGCTATCGCTGTAGTAAGTATAAATAATATAATAGAACTTTATATTATAACTATAGAATAAATCTGAAAATATTACTAAGCTTAAATGGATGAAAAGCTAGAGCTTTAATATATATTTTATTTATAAATAAAAATCCGATATTTATTTATATGACTATACACATGTGTATAGAGTACATGCACCTTTTTGATTATACCAAATTTTAGTTTTTTGACTTTTTACCGGCCCTTGTTTTATGTGCGGTTTTTTTTACCCCTGCTCTCTTTTTCGCTTTCGGCCTATATAAATAATAAATTAAATTAATAAATAAATTAAATAGATATATTTAAAGCATGGTGAATTAAACTTAATCTGGGCCATAATTTGAATTAATACCACTAAATATTCTTTCACATAAATATAGCTAAAAATCATTTGAATTACCAGAATCTTGTGCACTATGTTCAACCATTTTAGATATGTTTTCAATATTATTAGATTTTCGAACGGAGAAACGAAGACAATTTTTTAATAATGAAGAAACATTATCTTTTAGAACTACAGCACTTTGCTCTATATTTATATTTTAATAAAAGGGCAGATATTTTTTAGTATATAGTATTACATAGTTCCAAGTCAAAAGTTTTATATATTACTATCGTTGTTGAGATTTATAGCCTGATGGTGGTGATCGATAACTTTAATATTTGTATTACGTGCTTGCATGGGACTGATTTTCTTTTTTTTGACATCTTTTTTACAAGAGCTGTGTTATCTTAACTGAAGGTAGAATCAGTGGTTGTTGTGTTATCTTGATTGAGATCAGTAGTTGTTAAGTTATCAGGTTCAGATGCATTCTCATCTGTGTTATCTTGATCAAAGGTTACAAAAATAATTTTTAGATTCCAATCTTATATGTATCAGCTTTGTATACCATTTTGGATATCTCTATTAATATGTAACATATCCACCCAAATAATAAATATCAATTAACAAGTATTTAAGAATACGTCCTTGATAGGAGTATCCAAAATTAGTATATATACAAAACCAATACATATTATCTTTCTATCTCAATATTATAAATAAATAAATATATATATATATATATATATATATATATAGAAAAAAAAGCAAACTTTTTCTGACGATTACCCAAAAATTACAAAAATTAACAAAATATAGAAGAAAGATACTCAAAAAAGACCTAAATAAAGCTAGAACATAGACAAAATTAACACAAAACGCAAGAGAACAACCGACACAACAACTAACATAACAACAAAACAACAACAGTACAAAAAACACAACAAAAAAACTAAAAACTTCAAAAACCAGTCCTCAACGGACTTGGTAGAAGAAAACAGCTTACAAAAGCAAAATAATACATATATACCAGTGTATGCACCTAAGTTACCAATAAACAACAGTATAGACAACCAAGAAACACAGAATACAAACAACAACTAACAAACTTCTGCCCAAAGTAAAAGATGCCGCTACAACAATATACCTATCTCTACAACTTACAAAAAATCGACAAAAAGTGGGCAAAACAGCTTATCCCTGCCAAAACACACTATGATATCATACGTTATACAGAACAACACAACAACAACTATAACGAAAAATAACAACAACAACAACACAACTATTATGGGAAACACAAACACACAAAATAATACAAATATAGCAGACGCACAAATACAGCCACCAACAAACAAAACACATAACCTAACATTCAATACAGGAAATAACTCCAAAACAACAGCTATGCAGGTAGATATAGAAAATACAATAGCTACAACCCATGACCAAAACAAAACAGGAAACCAAAACATCAATACCCAACAAAAAATCGTACAGCCATGTACTACAACAAAATATCCCCCAACAAGATCAAATGCAAATAGATAAGGAAGCACTACACGAGCAAACACAAAGTTGGATTAAAAATATACTCCAAGAACTAGACAACCAAAACCAAAACCAAAACAAGTTTGACTACAGGATTTGGCCAATAGACAAAATAATTACAGCACTCAACAACATAAATGGTATCGAAGAATTTATACAATACAAACTAACAACACAACCCACACAACACCAGATTCCAAAGGCCATGTTTCTCAAATTCAAATATCTAGATCCTGCATTCTTCACATCTTTCACCCAAAATAGACAAACCACACCCACATACCAAAAAGAATTTACTAACTTATTCAAAGCAGCTATCACTAAATATAAAGACAAAAATGAAATCACTTTAACAAACAGAGAAACTAGAGACATAATCCAACACAAACTGAGACAAAAATTAAT